GGAGAGGCTGAGAGACTGGGTAGGCCTATCAGGATCTGCTCTGGAGTGGTTCTCCTTTTATCTGTCTGAACGTTTTTTACTGTGAATGTCTCTAAGTTTAGGTCCTCCACCACCTTCCTCACCCATGGTGTCCCACAAGGTTCTGTGCTATTGCCTCTACTCTTCCTCCTCTATCTGCTTCCTCTTCAGCACATCCTGAGCTCCTTTAAAGGAATCTCCTACCATGTTTACGCAGTTGACATCCAACTCTCCTTTAAGTCCCATGAGATGTCCGTAAAAACAATAGTAGAACCCACCCCACGATCAAAAGCAGACAATATATTTATTTAATCTGGCCAGGTCAAAAAATAAAATATCACAGAGAAGAATTTTATCAGGTAAAATAAGGATCTCTGATATAAAAACTATACAAACAACTTGCTTTTCCATTCGAAAAGTCAGTTTCTTCCTATCACATAATTCTCTCCTCATTGCTAGATAATAAATGTTGGGTTCATGAATCATTCATGATGCTAAAACCCAAGTTTTATTGCAGTCTGCTTATTTGAACTCTCACACACGTTTCTCCTCTGTCATAAATCATCTTTGAGTTGCCTGAATAATAGTTTTGTAGAATGAGAAAATCAGAACTCATCTTGGAGCCAGATTTTTCTTAAGGGCACAAACTCTATTACTGCAGCACAAAACAAGATTTTTGGGATCTTGATCATGACAAATTCTACTGAATACTTTTTATTTGGCGTAGCAGTTTAAAAAGGCATGCTGGAGTCATTTCTACTTTGCCGTGCAGCCTAATTAAATTTACATGGCCAGAATGCATCACATGCAAATGATCTTGTTTTATTAGTGCAGCCAGACTGAAGGCCGTCGCCACGTTCTGCAGCAGAAACATAACTGGCGTGGTAGATGACTGCAGTATGACTAAGATCCCAGGAGGAATTAAAACTGTCCTTCACCTCAGGTGCTGCATTGAAAACTAGAGTCATAAGAACCAAGAGAACTGAGCACATCACTCCTATTCTTAAATCTCCACACTGGTTACCAGTAAACTACAGACTCAATTTCAAAGTGCTTCTACTAGTTTATAAGTCAACCAATGGCATGTGGCCAAAATACATGTTGGATGTTCTTCCTTTACATACACCCAGCAGGGCTCTGCGATCCCGAGGAAGCGGTCAGCTGGCAGAACAGGGTGAAGCGGCTTTGAGTTACTATGCTGCACACAGATGGAATCAGCTTCCTTATAACCTCCTATGTGCCCCAACTGTAATAACTTTTACATTAAAATGTATGCTGCACCTTCTGCACTGTAAGTGCTCGGCCTCTAACTTTGCCGTTTCATCTTATTCTTACGTCTAATTATATTTGATCCAATGTGATTAGTGTATTTTAAACTAGATTTTAAAATCTGCTGTTTAATGTTCTCACGCTGATTCTAACATTTGTTCTTGCTGATCTTGCTCCTGGAAAGCACATTACAGCTGCTTGTGTATTGCCTTGCCTATAGGAGAACCGGTTGTTGCAGCTCGGCTCGCTAAAATGAAACGGCTCTTTAATTCATTTATGACCAGAAATTATGCACAATTGTGAGTAAACTGAATTTCTAATCTATGTCTATAGCAAATGTTTATTATGTAAATAACTTATTTTATTCAACATGAAGTAGAGTGCTACAAAAACACATTTCATATGACAAAAACAGACTCTGTAAGTAAACTCTATTAGAGCCTGCCGGATACAATATTTTCCTTTTGCATATCCCACACTCTGCCTTTGAATTGTCATTGTTAGTAAAATGTGTCCAAATCTTGCTGCTTGTCCTGCTTGCACCCTTTTGCCGTGTGTGTGTGTGTGTGTGTGTGTGTGTGTGTGTGTGTGTGTGTGTGTGTGTGTGTGTGTGTGTGTGTGTGTGTGTGTGTGTGCGTGCGTGCGTGCGTGTGTGTGTGTACTTTTGCAGTTAGTTAGTGGTTCAGGGTGTGATAGGGGGTGCGGGTACAGTCTGCCTTCCTCGCTTCAACTCCTTCCAGAATGAGCCGTATCATTCACAACAACATATCACTACTGAAAACTACTCCTGGTTATGAAGAGGGTCAAAACCATTAAAACATTAAAATTAAAGTAGAAAAAATCTGAACAGACACGAGCCTTTCTCTGTCTTCCCTTACTGCACCCTTCCCAACTTGCTTCTTACATCACATTAAATCACAATTAGATTTAAATATACTTCACACCACTCTTCACTACATCTTCGACTGAGACTGGACTGACTTTTATGACGTGGCTTTCCTGCTCTCCACTCATTCTGATGGAAAAACTCACTGAGGATTAAAAACTGAATACTGTTCTTTACATTCTTTCTGGGACTGGGAGATCAAATCTGGGTCGGGTCATACCAAAGACTTTTAAAAAATGGGACACAATGCCTCCCTCAGCTTTTAGGGTTTGGATTGGGGGGGTTAAACCCCCAAATAGTTCCCAAGCGCGGCCACAGCTGCAGCTC